CCCACCCCCGGTGAGCGGGTCAGGGCCTCCAGGGGGGCGAGCAGGAACCCGTTGCTGTGCCGCACAAGCAGAAGTATGTAACCGCGAAACAAAAGCCTGCTTTTGCTATCATATCGGTGATCGAACGACGTGAGCGTGCGTCCCCGCGGTGGTGGTGCGCACCGGGACCAGCGTCATCGGGGACCTCGCGGGGGACGAGTCGCCCACCAGGAAGCAGACGCAGGTGCAGGCGCGTGGACGTCAGACTTTACTTTGAGCTCGGAGAAAAAGTAAAATGAAAACAACGAATCGAAAGTCTCTATGATGGTGGTGACTCACGTTCGCACAATAATACTGTAACACACGAAAAGGGTTTGTTATCACGATGCAGAGGTCACCGCGGCGCGCGGACTTTCTTGTCCCGCGGCTGTTGTTATCGCTGTGGCGGCTCGACTCGGCGCCGAGTAGTCGCGCTCGCGCGGGCCCGCGGAGCGGAGCGAACTGTACCCGCCCGCGACATAGTCTCGGGGCGCACGATGTGCGAAGTGCGCTCATGACCCCGCGCCCGCCCTCGGCCGCCGCCGCCGGAGGCCTCGCCGTGGTGACCATACCCGAACAGCCCGTCGTCGGCGTCCTCGTCCGGCGCCAGGATGGCGATGACAGCGCCGACACCTGGAGCCGCAGCAGCGCCAGCAACAGCGAGTGGTCGGTCGGCGGCGGCGGCGAGGTGTCCGAGACCGTGGCCCCGCACGCCGCCGTGCTCCAGTCGTCGCCCGGGTCGTTCGGCGACATCGCGGTGGAGAACTCGTCGGAGGTGTACATCGGCAGCACGCACTTCCACGGCGCCGTCACCCTGGTCGTGTCGCCGAGCACCCTGCCCGCCGTGCTGCCGGCCGCCGACCAGCGCCTGCACCTGCCCGTCGAGGTCCAACCCGTCGTCGTCGGCCGCGGGGAGACGGTGACGGCGGCGGCGCCTGGCCAGCCGTCCGCCGTGGCAAGTAAGTACGTGACGTTGTGAAACAGCAGTCGCGTCTAGTGTGTTCCGGACAACCGCCTTTAGCGTAATCGTGCTTTTGTGTCGCAGAGTTCCGCCTGCGCAGACTGTTCTCGGCGCTGAGCGCGCGGATCGCGGCGGTGGCGGTGGTGCTGGCGGTGCTGACGTGCATCGCGCTCGTCATCAAGATGCCGCAGCTGAGCCGCGGGGAAGGTAGGGGAACCTCAGCCGCAATACAAACAGTCAGAAAAATCAAAGAAAAATCAACGATAATCAGGAAAAGAATCAGTAAAAAATCACAGAAAATCACAAAAAATCACAAAAAATTACAAAAAATCACAAAAAAATCAGGCAAAATCAGAAAAAAAAATCAAAAAATTTAAATTGTTTCAGGGGAGGACGTCCCCTCAACGGCGACGCTTACGTCCAGCGGCCAGCCGCCTCGAACAACTTCACCCACCAGCAGGACGCCGCACACCACCACAGCAGCGGCGGCGTCCTCGGGGAATGCGAGTGCAAACAACGAGCACCCTTCGCCTTCACGACGCCCGGGCTCGTACTCCCCCGGGAACTCTTACGGGAACAACTGGGGGTCGGGCACCAGCCAGGTGACCAACGTGACCTTCAACGGCAAACCTGTCAGCCCCGACGTCTGGGGACACTACTACCCTCCGCGGCCGTGGAACTCTTCCCTCTCTGGGAGGGGCCATTGACTAAAGCACCGAGGCACTCTACTACAGTGCTGCCGTGGAACACTTCGAGGGGTCATTGACTAAAGTACTGAGGCGCTCTGACAGTGCAGCCGTGGCCGAGGAACACCTCTCTCCCTTTGGAGGGGTCATTGACTAAAGCAACTAAAAGTACCGAGGCACCTGGAGGCACTCTACAGTACTTTGCCGCGGAGGAAGTCGCCGGTCGGTGTGGCCGCGCGCCTCAGCAGCCTCGGGCGGGCGCGGGGTCAACGCCTCTCCTCCTCACGGGAGGGCGTGAGCGCGCTCCCAAGCCAAGCACACCGCCAAGACCCCGCCCTGCTGCTGCTGCAGCCTAGCGGGACTGCTCGGACGGACTATGCAGTTTGAAACAACACCAACCACTCCTCTCTGCCATTGGCTCTTCTAATGAGAGGGGTAGAGCAACGGCGGGGCGGGCACTCTCTGCCCCCCCCCCTCCCTCTCCCCGGGTGTATGTCCTGTCGTTAGCACCTTGGACCAGTTCAGCCGCGGGGCAGGCGCGCAGCCAACGGACGACCGTCGAAGGCATCGAGAGACTCTGCGTGTAAATAATGAGACACAATAAACACAAAAGATTTTGTCCAAACAACCATGCAAAGAGAGTGTTATTGTTTTGTAACTTTATTTTGGTCCTGCCGGCTCGTCTCTGGCAGTACGTAGTAGTACTGTACACTGCATCTCGCGGGCGCACGGCGTTGCGCTGCTGCCCTGTACACTCCGCTCACAAACACTAACACACACACACACGCGATGCACAGGGAGTACACAGAGGTGGGCCCAACTGAGGTCCTGAGGATCGTCGGGATATCCGGGGATCCCGCGGAGGATCCCAAGCCAGCCGCATGACCCCTCGAGGCCACTCTGCCCGTCCGTCCGCGGGGGGCGGCGCGGGGCGGGGGCGGGCTGGGGCCCTCCCATGATGTATCCGCGTCGTTCACTCCGAAATTGCTCTGCTCACGTAGACCCGGAGGTGAGGAGGGGGGGGGGGCAGTTGTTTTCTACTAGCTGGGCGCGATGCCGTAATACACGGCGGAACGGACGCCGTTGTTCTTGTGTGTGTCTTGGGAGGGGGGGGGGTAATGGAAGAATAGAATGTACTTTCGATAGCCACGCGGCGCGTCGTGGATTAAAACGCCGTTAAGGTAAATGATTGTGCTCGGAGGCTGTGTAGCCGTGAAAGGGGCGCGCTTGCACTGACCTCTGTGCTATGTGTGTGTGTGCGTGCGTGCGTGTGAGTGTGTGTGTGTGCTGTGTGTGTGCGTGTGAGTGTGTGTGTGTGTGTTGCGCCCGCCACGCCCTCTCCGAGTCAAGCGAGTACCCTGATGATGGGCTCGTCCGGAATACAAAGCGGAAAGGGTCAAAGACATTGATAAACCCTTTCATTACATCAATTACATCGACGTTTGACGTCGTTACCGGGCGGGTGGCAGCGCGCGGTGTGAGTGTTCACTCGGCGGTGACCTCTCAAATCTCACTGCACATATTTAGATTGTCCGACCAATTTTTTCCGACCTGGTGATTTTTCTAAAATCCCCTTAGTGCTTGGGCCGTCGCGCCAAACGGGCTTTGCAGGTAGGCAACACGCACGCCTGCGTGCGGTACAGCATAACCACGACGACTGGCGGGTTCGCCTACCCCAGGTGGCCGGACGCCTTACGGGCAGTGCGGCAGTGTGGCACTAAGCTTTAGACGTGAATCACCTACGTGCAACCGGCAGTTAAAATACCTCTTAGAGAGTCGGGTCCCAGATGGAACTCGAACCCCAGCGCGGGTTGCCGAGGGTAGTCGAGCTTCTCGTACAGTGCGTATAATTCAAACATAAAAACGAATAATTAGACGGCGCGACGAGTATTAGAACCCTCGACTCACAGTTCAAACTTCGCAGCGATGTGAGAGAGCCACGAGGGCGGACTCGAAAAACTAGGTGAGAGAGTGTGTTGATGGAACCGGTTTTTCCCCCGCTCACGCTACTGCAGTGACTCGTGACTTTAGCCTAGCTCGCCCGGCCACTCACACTGTGGCGCCGTAGCCCCGCCAGTAGAGAGTCGGCCCCGTGCGCCACAAGTCAGGGGTTCGAATCTAACATCCCAGCCACATTTTTCTGAACCGGTCGAACTCTTGGAGTTGAACTTAAACCCGTCATTTCAACAGGGCACCTTCGTGGATGAACGAACGGTCTAGTGGTTAACGCTGCCCCACTGGACCGGGGGTGACGATGACTCGGCACTGGGGTCCCATTAGGGG